CATCACTGGTATTTCTGCACCAACTGATTCATTGTAAAAACAAAATACACCTCCACAAACAGTGTGTGAACATTATGCTCACTGGTTCTTCTCTGTAGTCAAATTAATTTGTTGTAAGAGCCTGATCCAACATCAGTGAGAGCTTTGGTACTGACTTCAATGAACACAAAGATCCCAAAAGGTCAGTTTGACAAAGATTGAACGAAAACAATGTTCTTCAATTCCCCACAGGGGTCTGGAATTTCTTGCATGGTTTTTAGCTGCTGTATCTGTTGCTTTAACATTAATGTAAATATGATGCAAAATAAAAGGAGCTCTATATACACTGCTATGACTTTAGCCTGGTGCACAGATTCTCAAATCAGGGCGCCAGGAGATCCTTTTAAGCCTGCCACAGGGTGACATGCAATATTAGCACAGTTAAATGTGCAAATACCTTCACGTGATTCACAATTAAACCCAAGAAATTTCAAATAGGAATCCAGCGTCAAAAACATACCCACTTCTAGCCTTTCCATGCTCTGTGCAACATAACTGTTCTATTTTTTCCTAGTCAAAAAACAAGTGAAAGCTAAGAGTTGCCATGTACCACGGGCTGCCTAGAGTCTACTGAGGTTTAGAACCACTGGTTCAGTAAATAGTTGGCACAGCATAGCAAGAATTTAAAACTTATAATCTGAAATCAATTAATTGTTTTAAAATCTAGAAAAATACCTGAACAGGCCTAAAGGGCTCATCAGATCCCTTCCACCGAGAAAACAGGAGACAGACTATCTTCTCAATATCATTACGAGGCCAAAGAATGAAGTCCATCTCCTGGGTACAGCCAATCACATCCTGCAAGAAAAAAAAAATTGCACATTGGCTTACCTGCAATTCTCACAGCAGATCTATAGAAGAGTGAATCTACAACTAACTTATGTAGGTGCAAATTAAGAAGAACAAAATAAAACAAAGATACATAGTTTGTGATCACGTCTCCAAAGTCTTCCTTTCCCACAAGCTTGTTTCATCCAGGTATTCAGATTTTGTGTTTAATTTTGCAAGCTCTTTGGGCCAAGCCCCGGGGACACTGATTTGTTTATAAATCCTAGAAAAACCCCAAACCAACTACTGCAATACATTATTTTACACTTTGTTGTATAAATTCTAGTTTCAAGGAAGCAGAGTATCAAAACTGTGTCTTTATATGAAAATCTAAGTAATGCTGCAGCAAGTTTTGTGACAGGTAATATTTGTGTACTCTGGAGAGGTCAAGATTTGAAGAGGCACTTCTGAAAATATGTAATTCGTCTCAATCAAATACAAACAGAAACTTTTCATACTTACACAGATAACTAGATGCAATTCATAGATTGTACAGAGTTGGAAGGGACCTTGCAAAATCATCAGGTCCACCCCCCCTGCACTACGCAGGATTCTAGGACAAGTATGTAAATCATGTTACAGCTTGGTTACGATTCAGTTCAGCTACAATTCTGGATCCAGACTAAAATTCTGAATTCTAATCTAACAGAAGACTTGGGGACATAGAAATGTAGAACTGGGACACAGCTTTGCAGTACAGTGTATACATGCTCAGACTCCAACTCCAAACTATAAAGTATAAACAATAACTTACCCTGCGCATGGATTGGTAGCGGGGCGCATGAAGCTGTACTACATCTTTCTGCAGAAGCTCTATGGAACTTTCCAAAGAATAGCTGGAATCCCGCACACCTTTCAGGATATTTTCTTCGTAATTATTGGTCATGACTGGTATCACTTCAGACACTTCAAAAAGCGCTGACTTTTTCTTCTAAAAAGAAATAAAAGAAAAGTAGTAATGTTAATGGTCCACCCTTTTTCTTGGCAGATAAGAATAATCTACTGAACCTTGTACATTTTCCCCCTTAGTACTAGTGTCCTCATGTAAATTAGGCACTATATTACTGATTTATGACTTAACATCATAACTTAGAGTTACACTATTATACGCAGAGCTCCTGAGAGAGCAAGTCAAAGAGCAGTAAAACCTTGTTTAAAATAGCTTCATTTTGGATAGCTTCTTCATATTTACAAACTTAGGCTCCAAACCTAAAAAACTTCAAATGAAGAGAAAGAATAAACATTGGCAAGACTGGAGTTCAACTGTCTTCTTAAAGGAATACGTTTCAGCCTTACCAACAGTGCTGGATGCAGATTTGTTGGTGAACCAAGCCAGTAAGACACATTTTTTGTATTTAATGGTTTCAGATTCCATCAAATGGAATTTTATGCTCCAACCTCCCCCAATCAGTGAAAACGGAGGCAGATCTAATCCAAGAATAATTTTAGCAACCATAAATCAATGTGTAAGAAGTGGTTTCACAGTTGAATTCTGTACTATTTCATCATGAACAGTTGGTTAGCACTGTTTCAATATTTCCTGTCCGTGGAACAACTACTCTTAAAGAGCAAAAGCAGTTTGCCACTACAGCCACCTGTAAACAGACTTATTTAAAACTTTCTTTCAAGAACTACATTAGAGATGAAGCAAATTCTATTGAATCTAGGCCAAGACCGTTAGGCCCTCATACGTAAGTAACGGACAAACATTTTCTTCTTGTTGGCCAGACTATTCTAGATCCAAAGTAAGCATTTAGGCCCTAGTACATAGGTACTAGATCAACTCACATCCAGTGTCATCTTGGACTTAAAACAAACCGTTGTAATTTCTAAAATACACATTTGGAGGAGGTTGCCAAATACAGCCAGAAAGTTGCACCCGTTTGCAAACATTTTAACACTGTATTGATTAGGAAGCACTAATTACTATCACTGCTTAAAACTTTAGTTATTTTAGACTTGTGACATATGCTTTTACCTAGCTAACAAGCAGGGCACCATCATGGAGAAAAGAATAAATTTCACCCACTATATAAAATTTTCTTCCCATGACAGTCACTAGAAACTAGTACATCCCCAGTATCACACAAGAGTGGTGCTTTTACCAACTTGTTTATGCTCTGCCCAACTGAACTAAGTACAAACACTTTTCTTTAGTTAAACTTTAGTTCTGTAACATCTAGTACTAGTCCTTAGTTCTCCAGTTGCCCACAAAAACAGACTCAAATATTAATAAAGTCTGCCCCCAAAACTATTTTAGGAAGCCTTTAAGGTCTTTAGAATTCCACAACCATTCCTTGTATCAAACATACTTTCAGCCTCAAAAAGCTGGTAAGTTTAACTTCACTGCCTCCCCCTTACACGATATCTTCTTAAAAACTCTACATTTAATAAAATATCCCACTGCTATTCACCTTCCATCTTTCTACAGTCCTGTGACAAAGTAATTCTATCAACTGCTCAGTACATCCACTACTTGTAGTAAAACAACTATGCGTCTGTTGGCTCAGTGGGAGGCTTCTGTACTGTGATAGACCCTGCATGTTAATATTGAAGAGTTCTACCCACTACAGCCAAGTAAAGACTTGTTTGTAAAAATAATGATGAATTTCAGATGTGCACGTGTTTGCAAGGTTTCCAGATGCACTCTGAGGGAGGGGCTGAAACTGTCTGAATGCCTTCTGCTTTAACCTGATAAACATGATAATTTCAGTAGCTGCTGCAGCCAATCCTCTCTCTCTCTTGCTCAAATTGACCATTTCAGATGGTCAGGCTGCAGATCAGACTTCACGAACAGCTTTTAAAGAATCTTAATTCCTTCTCCCATTGGAAAGCCATCTCGAAGGGATGTTTGAACCATTACAAGACTGTAAGCACATGAGAAGTGAAAGACTGAAGTCACTATAAAAAAAAAAAGCACCGGATAGAGAGAGAACACAATTAGCTGAAAGACTGACTGAATGCTAGGAAATAAATTGGATTTAAAGTTTTTCATATTAGGTAGCAAGTTTTTTTTCTGTAAAACATGATTAATAATGTGCAAAGAGCTAAGTTACATTGAAACAGACAGCAGAGAGGATTTGAAAATGGAAAGTTACCTTGTCTTTGAATACAAAGGCAATATACATCTTGAAGTCAAACTGGTCAGCTAGAGATTCTTTTTTCTTTCTAAGCTGAGCACGTAGTCTGTTCAGAGCTTGTTTCTTCCGGGAGTTTGGGTCCCCCATTTTTGTAAGGTGGTACTAAAGCCTTTGGAAACTGTCACTAAGCTATGGGCACTTTTTCATAAGACTCAAGTACAACAGAAACAAGTCATTTTATTCCTGCTAATACAATTGAATAGATAAAACGCGAATGTAACCCAAAAAACGCACCTCAGGCAATATTTTATGAGACTGTCATATTAAAGGGGTCAAGAAACAAAATAAGCCGCTGTCCAACCATGGTTGGACAAGGAGATTCGGCAAAAAGTACCAAGAAAAAAAAAAACGCTAACAATTTTTAAGAAGATACATTGGTGTGAACAGTTTAACCGCAGGAATAAGTGGGTGAGAATAGGGATGCGGGGAAGTGATCACAATTTACGTGTACAACAAAAAGCAACTGGCACAAGCCCAATCCATGTGGGGATTATTTCTGCCCTTACAAAACAAGAAAAAAAAAGAAGAAACTGAAATTACAAATTGCGCTTTACCCCAGCCAGATTCATGACTCTGCTATTATTCTCAGGTTTCCACTATTGCTAGGTTGCCTGTCCCTGTCCCTCTTTTTTTTCCTTCGTTAACCTTTAAAATTATTACACTTGGTGGAGAGCAGAGAAAAGGGTGCAGAGGAGGAGTGCACGTCCTGGGAGGTACGAGATTTCCCTGCCAACAACGGAATCGTCAACTACAGACGTGGTGCTGATTTGCAGGGGAGCAAAGAGGAAAAACAGCGGAGTCATTTCTAACTTCATCCTGCTCATCATCAGGCACATCACCGCCCTGAGGCTGCCACTGCTGAGAAGGGGGATCATGATGGCCACAGACAAAGGGTGGGTGGGGGGTGAAGGGACGGGACTCTCTCCCCTGGAGAGTCGAGCCCTATGCAAGCCCCCAGTCCTGGCTGCCCACCACAGTGAGAGCTCTACATCCCCCAAAACCTGACAGGCTCCTTCGGAAACTGATCCCCTGCCCCAGGATCCTCCTCTCTCTACTGCCCGAGCCTGGTTTAGCTAGGACCATGCATGGCTGACTTCTGGCCTCTCCTCCCGCAACTGGGCAGGCTGCCTGAGGCAGCGAGACACCCGCTGGGTGCGGCAGGGGCACAGCCCTCTCACTTCATGGTGACTCTAAACCAGGAACAAACAAACGGGGTAAAAAAACCCGGAGGGAGAGAAGATGGAAACAAAACCCTGAGGGAGCCCGGGGAAGGGCAGATTTCTGTGCCAAAATGAACAAACTGGGGGGGGGGGGGAAAACCTGGGGGAGATGGAAGTGAAACGCCTGGCGCAGACCCCTGTGCCAAAACAATCCTAACTTTTTCTCCCTCAAGGAAAAATATTAATTTGTTTTTTTAAATTCCCCTTGGCAAAAAAAAAAAAAAAAAAAAAAAAAAAGGAAAAAAACCGAGCTGCAATCACTTCCCCTCACACCTCACTCCCCAAACCCGCAGAAAGGTGGTGTCGGCCTCGCCCCATGCATCCCCCCGCGCTGGGTGTCACGCGGGGTCCAAGCCCCGGCCCGAGACGAGGCAGGAAGAAAAGAAAGCGGGGAGGGGGGAGGGGAGGGGAAAACCCCCGGCCGCGCGTGTCCCCCGCGGGGCCGGGCGCTGA